CATTATTCCTTATTAATGCTACCTAACAACTACTGAAACCAACTACTCGGTGGTGGAGTGGTTAGAGTGCAGTACTGTAGACTACTTCTGCTGAAAGCTGTCTGACTGCAATTTGGCAGTTCAAATCCCACCAGGCTCAAGGTTGACTCAGCCTTCCATCCTTCCGAGGTGGGTAAAATGAGGAGCCAGATTGTTGGGGGCAATAGGCTGACTCTGAAAATTGCTTAGAGAGAGGGCTATAAAGCACCGTAAAGCGGTATATAAGTCTAAGTGCTATGGCTACTAATGAGCCCTTTGTGAGCTAGTAAAGCAGCAGACAACTATGGACCTGTCTTACCCTTCAGCTGAGGGTTGCTCTAGGGAGGGAACTGGGATGTCAAAGCCATCTTCTGGCATCTTTGAATCAGTGTGCTGCACCTCTGTTTCTGCCATCTGCTTAAGACCACCTGTTTATAAACAATACTATTAAAAGCAATAGATAAAAAAAAATTTTTTGAAAAATTAATTAACATTCTCCCCTCCTACGTATACATCTGTCCTGGCACTTTTTAGAATCTATTGGCCAATAAAACAAAATAACAAAAAAAAATACAGATAGTCCTCAACCACTCATGTAGTGACCATTCAAAGTTACAATGGCACTGGAAAAAGTGACTAACAACTGGTCCTCACAACAGTTGCAGCATCTCCATGGTCACGTGATCAAAATCTGGTTGCTTGGCAGCCGGTATGTATTTATGAGACATGCTGCATTAACTTGGGCATCTATATGGTAGTTGTAGTCAAACCTTTTCATTTCCTTTCTTATGGTTTACTTCCGAACTGTAGTACTTGCAATGTGGCTTCGGCAGTTTTGAAAATGCAAACCACATTATCACTTTAAAATGACTACATCCAAACAGAAGCCATATGCTAAATAAATAAATAAATCCAAACAGAATATTTCTTTAAATACTTATTTACTACCATAGTAGGCCAATCCACTGATGGTTACAGCAAAGTATAGGAGGTCCCCGACATACAACCGGGATGGGGATGAGAATTTCCATTGTTAAGCTAGGTGTTCGTTCAAGTGAGTCATGCCCGATTTTACAACCATTTCTGCCACAGTTGTTAAGAGAACCACTACAGTTGTTAAGTATCATGCAGTCATTAAGTGAATCTGACTTCCTCCATTGACTTTTCTTGCTGGAAACCAACTGGGAAGGTTACAAATTGTGATCGTATGACCCTGGGATGCTGCAGCCATCGTAAATACAAACTGGTTGCCAAGCATCCAAATTTTGATCACGTGACTGTGGGGATGCTATGATAGTTGTGTGAGAACTGATTGTAAATCACTTTTTCTAGCAGCATTGTAACTTTGAATGGTCAATAAACAAATTGTTGTAAGTTGAGGACTACCTGTAACAAATATTCCATCACATGCTAATTTTGTTCCAAACAGTTCTTTTATCAACAATTCCTTTCCAATAATTCAAACAAAAGGGTAAGCAATGAAAAAAAAAGATGAATAATAAGCAGCATAACCTCCCACACTTAACTTTGGTTGAGAATAGTGTTCAAGGCATTTTTGTACCTACCAGAATTGTGAATGTATATTTGGCAAATCCAAAAAGGAAGCAAAAGCGACACAGATAAATTCGTGTGTCCCGGAAATACATATAAAGAGACTATGCTCAATCCTTAACCAAGATACAACAGGTTTCCCCCTTTGGATTCTAATTACAGGTCTATTTTACTTACTTTCATAGAAAGATATTTAACCACAAAATATCCATGAAGAGGACATTACAATTTACAATCTATCCATAAGAATGGCTCTACATTCTATAACTGGATTAATATATTAATATATTACAATTAAGTTTGTTGCTGCTGTACTCATGTGTTGAGCAAAATCATAAACCACAGCCATCCTAGAATGCCTTGCTGAAATTTGTCAACAAAGTTGAAAATTGGTAATTTTTTCCTCTGAAAGGCTAAAAAAAGTTTTTTTTAACCTTTTGGGGGATTGTAAAAACAGTCTCCCCTATTTAAAAAAACCCTGAAGAAATAAGAGCCCAATACAGGTAATCCTCATCTTACAACCATTCATTTAGCAACCATTTGAAGCTACAATGGCACTGAAAAAAATGACTTACAATGGTCCTTGTACATGTAACCATTGCAACATTGTACCATCAAAATCCAGGAGTTTGAAAACTGGTATGTACATACAGCAGTAACAGCATTCAGGGTCATGGGATTGCCATTTGTGACCTTTTCAGCAAAGACAACAGAGGAAGATGGATTTGCCTAATGACCACATGTTTCACTTAACTACCTTGCTTAGCAATGGAAATTCTAGTCCCAATTGTGGTCATAAATTGAGGACTATCTGTATATCAGCTTTGCCATCTCCTACAATGTTGCTGGGTAATTTCTGTACCATCTGCAGGTTTCAGAAGCCAATATTCCATTTTTAAAGTCTATTAAGACTCTAAAAACTTGCTTTACCTCGTTACAAATCAAAATCAACTTGGATCTTATAAAATTAAACAAACCACATTAAGGCTTTACATAATTTGTAAACCTACCCAATGAAGGCACTTCATGTGTAGCAATCAGAATTTCATATAGGAACACAGTCAGTAAATATCACAAATTGCTTTTACTGAGATGAGAAAGAAACGCACCACACTCCCACTAATTAATGTAACATTTCCTTTTCAGCAAAAGGCAATTTGAGATAATTGCATGAGACACTTTTAAATGAAATGTTTCATCTATAATTTGAGCAAAAACGTAATTTCAGTGCTTGCTAGTATCACTATAGCAAGGTGCATACATTTACATCCAAACAATACAACATAATTACTTTATAGCAAAGGCTACCACAATCAGTGAACCAGTAAACACTTAACACTCAGTAATGATGTTTTTTTAAAAATAATTACATCCCCATTTCTTGAAGTAGATATATAAATACTAATAAAAAGACGTTATTTCTCAAAAAAGATAATTTATGGTTTAATAAGCTATTTCTCTCACCATCCTGTTGAGAAGCAGTTTCACTTTCTTCCGTAAGATATTCAAGTAAGCCATCAAATATTTCCAAGAGATTCCTAATAGACTCCGTATCTCCTTTCACAATATTTTCTCCTTCATAAAAACACACAGTATTATCTTAGAACAGAAGTAAAAGGTTGGGAGGATGCAACTGAACTGGGCTAAGAGCAAAATTCTCAGGTTCTGCTTCAATGAGCACTCCTGATAAGTGAATATCCAACTCAAAATAGTAACTGCACATGTATTAGATTTTATTCTGTTGGGAATGCTTATTCTAATGAAGAAAAGCTTCTCAGCAAAAGGACACCATGCAAAATCAGTTTCTTTCATTCCAGACAACTTTCCCTGCCTGGCCTTCCTCCAAGAAAGGCAATGCTAAAAGAAAAACTCATCATATAATTCCCAGAGTTACAATATACAATAGTTGTCTTGAATCTGCATTGTCCAAAAAAAAAACCAGTAACCCCAACAAAAAAAAATTGTAATACCAGCACAACTGAGGCATCACCATGAATGGGGGTGGGGGTGGGGATAATTAAAACCAGAGAACATTAATTCTGTGACTTGTTGAATTAGCTCAGTGAAAAACATTAGAACATCTGGGACAACATCTAATCCATGATACGTTTAGGGATACTATGAGTTTTAAAAGCTCGTAACATATTCTTTTATTCTTCCCTCTACGTCCATGTGCTTTGCCACGAAAAGAATACAGTCATTGTTTCTGACCTGCATTTCACAGTTTTGATGGGGATTGTTTTGCTACTTGGCTAAAATCATCTTAAGGAAAACCAGTTTGTTACAACTGAGATTTTTCTGTTAGGAAGATGGCTTGCATGGAGGCAAGTCAATCAGGAAAAGATTCAGCTGGTGGCTCCTTCCAGCAACCTGCAATACATATATTAAGAGCCTAATGCTTTCAAAGTGCATCCTACAAAGTTTAAATCCCATTAGAACAAGGGACACTTTAGATGAAAAACTGATTCTTTGCCAGTTTTAAATCTAGGTACTGAATCATTTATTGTGTAAACAAAGATAAGCACTTGTTACATAATGTGTACTATCAAGATTCTTTGGAAACATTTACTTATAATTACAACTGAATTTGTCGTTACCAATGTTCACTTTATTTGCCAGATAAAACATTATTAAGGCCTGGTGGAAGTATCTTGTATTAAACGCAAGTTTTTAATCAGCTAATTAATTTTTTTTAGTACTAATGAAGTTCGAATGTAGTATAAAAGCATCCTCCTTGATGTTAATGCAAAAGATAGCACAGCTTTCAATATTGCTGAGACTGACCAAGGTTTGTTTGAGCATAACACAACAAATAGTTGCCATAAATTTTACTATTTTACTATAGTTAAAGGTCTATAGTATAATTGTGTTCTCGTTCATTTTGACTATAGCATTTATAAAAATAAGGCATGCCTGAAAGTACCTTTGTAATAATTTTATGCCATCAAAACCTATTTCAAATTTTCAGCAATGGATTTAAAATCTGTAAAGCAGATTAAAACTGCCATATTTTTCAAACTATAAGATGCATTCCCCCCACCCCAAAGTAGGTGTAAATGTCTGTGTGTCTTATAAAGCGTATATTGCGATGGGGAGGGAAGAGGGTTGGTGCGGCACCAACCAGCTGTTGTAGGCAGAGGGGATTGCTACGACTCCCTATTGTTGCTGCCGCTGCTCGTTCGCTGCCAATTGCGGCGATTGGGCCACAGCAAATGGGCAGCTGTGAAGGTGAATGTGAATGGGCCATGGCCACGGCAAATGGCCCACAGCAATCCCCTAGAACAGTTGATCAGCAGTATTCCAGGAGGCCAATACAACCACTAATCAGCTGCTTGGCAGCAAAGCCTCCAGCGTTTCCCAGCAGTGGCATCAGCTCAGCTCAGTTGACTGGTGGTGGGCACAACAGAATGCGCCATAACGAGCCACCTGCTGGGGCTGCAATAACATGCTAAAGCTGATCAGGCTGTTTTCTGTTTGCTGCAAGGATGCTAGCCAGACGAATAACAGATGGATGCTGGGAAGCAGAGGCAGATTTTTTTTCTCGTTTTCCTCCTCTAAAGCTAATGTGTGTCTTATAGTCTGAAGCATGTGATAGTCCAAAAAATACGATACTTCTGCCTACTTGAAAACAACCTTCCCTAAATCTTACTTTTGAATAGACATTTCTAAGACTGAAAACTTTATTTTATTTCATTGAGTTTACTAGAACAATTTGAGAGCAAGTACTTTGGAGCAGATTGCTCAGCAGTTGTCACAGAACTTTAGAAGAACTTACTTGTAAGCAAAAGAAAAATAAAATTCCATAAAAAGTATCTAAGAATCTCCATATTGCAAATGTAAATAAAGAAGCATCTAACTTGAAATAAATTTCCATTGGCCCAAAGTACGATCAAATGTAGATTAACTTAAGACAAATAGCTATTTTTAACCATCTTATATCACAAAAGTATGGTACATTTTTGCAACAATTGTTTTTAGTTATACTCACCAGTTATATGTGACAAGCTGATCTGCAAGTAGTCCAGGGCCAAAGAATCTATCACCGCCTGCACATTATGAATATTGTCTTCTTGGCAAGTAGGAACAGCTATGAAATCTGTTAACAACTTTTTGACATTACTACTGTGCATTACAATATACTATAAAGTCAAATAAATGAACTGCATCTTAAATCTTTTGAGAGCAAGTAAGGTCCGCCCCCAATATTGTAGAAATGCATATAATTCTGAAGTGAACAATGAATTATTGCACAGAATGTAAAAAATACTCCAACATGGTATTCTCGTCACTATCTGAACATCTTAAAAAGGCCTAAAAATTCTCTTCTAGCCCCTCTGGGTGGTCATAGTCCAGAGTGCTCCCACCACCACTGAGACCCCTTATATTTACTCCCCCCCCCCGCACTCTCCCTCACACAAACATACCTCTCACATATATGAGAAACAAAAGATAGCTTGTCCACATTATCCACAAATTCAGAATTAAACTTTGCTACCTTTGATGAGGCTCTACTGTAGATGACCAGGCTGAGCCCAAGGGCGGGGTCAAACACATCATCCATCTGAAGTCTCTGAAAGAGACCTAAGTCCAGCCCCCCTTGAAGTCCGTTGACTCTTATCAATTTGCCTTGAACGTTAGTAGACGCGATTCTTGTGCAACCTACAGTGCTTTCTTAACTCTATCTTGGCTCCTGGTTTCTTGTGTCTGACATCTACTTCATTGAGGCTCTACTTTACAGTATATAGAGATTATTGTGATTTATAATTTATCAGCTCAGACATACTGATACCCCAAGGGTGACTCTGAAAATTCCAGATACAGAAGACAAAAAGGGGGGAAGTGTTTGGGAGAGCAACCCAGACAGGCAGACAAGATAAATATTAAAACCTGAATTGAGATTCACCCTCTATTTAAGAGTTTTTATATTTGTTTTCCAAACTCAGAATACTTTTCCTTTAAATGCAAAAGCAATGAGGAAAATTAAGCTTAAAAAATTAAGTTATTAAACCTCTTAACCTAGATTTATGCCCAAAGTGTTTCAAATGTAAATATGGAACTGTTACCTTGCTGTAAGGATAATGCAAGATACATGCATTCTTACCAGGGACTTTTTCTCCTAATATTGATTCATAAAGATGAACAAAAACTTCAGCTCCACAGTCAGAGAGACTATTAACATGCAGCTGTATGTTACATTTTGTCAGAAGATCATTGGCAACATCCACCCAATCTATTTTAAAATTGTAAGAGAAAATGAAATGTTATGGTTTTAGAAAAAAACAGATGCATTAGCATAAACAGGGATTCAGACCTCTTTACCAAGCAGCCCAATAAAGTTTTTTTATGCTTTTACTAGGATTAAAAATAGAACTCAGCTACTTGAATCCAAATGTTGTAACCAAAATCTAGTAAATCACACTCTAATTCCCACAAAATGAAATTGTGCCCGTAGGGATGTTTAGTTTAGTAAAACTGAATATCTTCCCATCTCAAATTCTATTAACTTTATCTACATTCTGGAGATTACTAGCAAAATCCAAGTAACTAAGTATTGTGCTTGATACTTATTGGAAATAACTGATCTTTTTTCACCATTTTACTCAAATTTCTTTGAACTATTTGAACAGGAAAAATACATTTTAATTCTACCATCTATTTTATTTTTTTAAAAACCATAGTTCTCTGGACGTTATTGAATTACACCATCTCACTATGTTTTACCTCATGACTTTTATTGTTTTATCAATGTATAAAATACAAAGAAAAATAAAATCTGGTGTGTCATCAGTTGCCCATCTTTTTATCAGAAGTCCCATCTCACAATGCAATAGTGCCAAACCAAGCAAAGGCAAACTATAAGTATTACAAATATGTTTTTTTCAAAGCCAGCAGTTCTCCACAATGCAATCCCAATCTGATGTGCCATAGACTCTTAGCAACTACATAGCCCTTAATCTGGTCCTTAAATCTACTCAGAAACAATTCCAATAAAAATCAACAAGATCTATTTCAAATGTAAGGGAATTACTCGGTAGGATATTCTAAAGCCAGACCATAATGGCAGTCATGTCATTGTACAGGAGGTGTAAAGAGTATGGAACAGATGGTCCTCCAGCTGTTTTTTCTTACAACAGCCTATAACTCACTCAATCACCTCTAGCTAATTACACTGTGTGTAGGTTTTAACCAATCTCAAAGATGTATCATTCTAAATATTATGCAAATATGTTATAGTGGGTAAGCAAACTATCTGAGACAATCAGTATCAATTTTGGATAAAAAGGTTACATATACAACTTACTAAAACATTTTAAATAGGGAAATCTGTTTTAGAATATTAACAATTCCTCCTGCTTTATGCAACAGGAGGCTTGTTTGTGCAATTACTACACTTCACTTCATCAACAATATAATCAGTTTTACCACAACCTACTACCGGCTTTGCTTCCTCTCCTCCGTTTTTAAAGTTGCAAGCTAACTTATAGCATGCCAGAATGTCTTACTATCCTTTCCATTACTCCCAGAGAAAAGAGAATGACCACTAAAACATAAATAGCATACATATGTTGTTAAACTACACTGTTGCTAAGAAAGCAACTTTGCCCAGGTCTTGATGCTCATTCACACGTGCGCGGATCTTACGACACGTATATTTTTCCCAACTGGAGCTGTAACAGACTACTAACACGATTCTCCTCGTGCAAGGTCTTGAGGAATTGAATATTTTTTTAAAGGATGTTTTCACTGAGCAGCACCATTTGTGCAAGGAGGATGGCAACAGGAAAGCATAAGAGAAACATTAAGTTTCTCCTTTTGAGAGAGACTGAATCCCACTCCCCAATCCCACCCACCTCTTTCCGCAGCAGAAGCCATTCCGCAACCCTTCACGCAAAAACCGCGCCCAGCAGCCGAAACGCAGAACGCCAAAGCTTCGGCGATTTAAATCCTGCACCGCTCTCCGGACTTCTGCATGATGATTGGTCAGCCAGAAGCGGAAAAGGCGGGATTTCCTTTTGGCTTTTACTCCCTTTCCCCCCTCCCTCGCCTAGTTCCGGATGGGGTAATAATGCTGTTCAGTTACGCTTATTGTTTATTTTCCGCTAACGTCGGTTTCTATGGCAACGAGGGGTGGATTATGAGCGAAGGCTTTGTTTTTTTTAAAAAAAACCAAGTTCCCGGGGTGGGTGGGGGGAGAGAAACAGAGGCCGCGCGCGCAACGTAAAGCCTCGAGCGGGAACAGGGCGCTGCTGGTCGCATTCTGTTAGGCTGTTTGTCGCGAGCGTTGGCACGCCTTGCTTCCTCCCCTCGCAACAATCTTGTGACTGACGGTAGACTGAGATGTATGCCCAGGGTCATTCGGAGAGTTGTGGGCACCTTAATATGCTTGACTGGTATCTAGCTTCTCCTGCAAGGATTTGAAGCTAGGTTGGCATCCAGGGGCAAAAAAATGCAAAATGCCACGCACACACATTTGCATTCTTAACCAGCTGTTTGCAAGGATTATCAATCCTTCTATTCCCCACCATCGGTCAGAGCTGAAGGACCTTGGATGAGAAGCGAAACAACGTTAAAGAAAAACCAAAAAGTCCAGTTGGTTCTTAAAAAAACATTTGCGACAACCATGACCTGGGTGACTGAGAATCTCCATCGACACACACACTCTTTCTGACCTTAAGATCTTCTGTGGAAAAAGCAACTGCAGAAGCTCCCCTTTCCACCAATTAACCTCCATGCCCCGATACAGAATATTTGTAGCTCAGGGTCCAAATGAGGGGTCCTGGGTTGTCTCTGAACTTGCTTGTTTTCTTGCAGACGTTTCATTATCCAAACAATCCAAACATCATGATCTTACCTAAGTTGGGTAATGAAATGTCTGCAAGAAAACAAGCTCACAGGAAACCAAGGACCCCACTGTGCCCCGGTTTGGATGTCAAGACAAGAAAGGGAGGCCTGGGGAAGGCACCCATCCATCAACGTAAGGTCAGAAATCAATCTGAGGTGGAGAACGTTGGAGGTGGGTTGTTTGAACTTTCAGTTTATTCCTGGAAAAAGAAATGGTCTTGCCTGAGGAGAAGTTGGAGTGCAGCAACGTTCATTTGGAGCAGGAAGCAGAAGGGGGTGATTTATTTGATTCTTATTTGCCTTGTTAGGTCCTATGATACACTTAAGCCACAGAAAGCCAAAAATGAAACTTAAAGGGAGGCTTGAATAACAATCAGCATTTAATCTTGATCAAGGTTAAAGACATGATGGTCAGCCGTTCCAAACATACCCAAGGATAGGCATGGAAGAGCCACACACAAGAGAGGGAATGGTTTTCCTTTTACATTGTTAGAAATGTTATAAAACACCAAAAACATTATAAACATCAGTTAAAATCCTCAACTGTGGTCTCCCTAATTAGTCTTGTCTTAGCCTTATCTCTTCCTTGTGTCTCCCTTTGTCCTCTCAATTGATCACTTAGCTCCCTGGAAAAGGGTTCTAATGGGATCTAATAGGAAGCCAGAAACATATGTCTTGACAGATGTCAGATATTTTTACAGACCCTAATAATAATGTTCGTTAGTTGCAGGAAATACAGATATTTACAGTATGCAAGTATCCAATGTCTACAAATACCAGTATACAAAGGCATCATCTAGTATTCCAGTATTTTATATTCTGGTATTATTTAGTATATCCTTATTACTATTTCCATTCAGCCTGATATCTCAATAAGACAGCTGGATTAGGAGAACTGGCATACCTGAAGAACCTAAAGTGTAATATTAACTAAACAGAAAAACATCCAACCTATATACCAATTGTTCACCACCCACATCTGACCCCGCACAAGACTTATCACAAGAACTTCATCTGATGTGATCACAAGATCTATTTACCACATAAAGCCCTTATAAACAGAAGAACACCAATACTGACATTCCCTAAATTCTGCTGAAGTTGTTACCTAGCCTGGTAACGAAACATTCGGAAACCAACCCACAAGCTTGGACAATAAACCTCCGCTCTCGCCAATTAATCTAAATAGAGCTGGAAGGGACCTTGAAGGTCTACTTCAATCACCTGTTCAAGCAGGAGATGCTCTACCATTTCAGACTGTTGGTTGTCCAGTCTTTTCTTAAAAACCTCCAGTGATGAAGCATCTACAACTTCTGAAGGTAAACTCTTCCACTGGCAACTTAACAATTGTTAATTGTTGGTTAATTGTGCAGATGGCCCTGATCATAGCCATAAATGATACATACATGTTCCATTTATTGCTACAATTGGAAACCCTCTGCATGCCAAAGAAAATCAATGTGTGTCTGTGTGCACACAAAATACAAACAGGTTGTGTTTTGAATGCTAGAAATGATGACAAACTGTAAAAAAAACCTTTGCAATAAAACAAATTCTGGAGTGATCTTGGGGTGATTTTATGGGATGAGTTGGGCAAAGCTGGTGTAGGAATTGCCCTCCCCGCTCCCCAGCCCCTGCCCTCATCTGCTGTATGCTAGGTTGCTACTGAAATCCCAGTTCAATCTTCTGGATGCCTTCTCTCCCTCTCTTAAGCCTTTGCTAGACAGGCAATGGCCCATGTAGCTGGTTGTTGTTTGCATGGTCTCAGAAGCAAAGAATAGGATTTCCATGCAGCATATCCCACCAACCTGCCTTCTTTCAAATATTTGCCTTATCCTCTGTTTGGTGCCCTAGCCTGTTACTGATTTTCTTGTTTTATTCCTGATACTTACTCCATTCAACCATTTCTGGGTGGAATAGCTGTATTCAAACTTGTTTTCTTCCATTTGTAGGCAACTCAGTGGAAACACTTTTCCTTTCAGACATAGACTATCCAAAAATCAGCTCTTCTATGTGGGAAGTATTTGGTACATGGAATGTTTTGCAAAACCCTAAGATAAACAATAGTTCACTATAATAAAAATAATTTCCTTCTTACAAGAGGATATAATGCACCATCCAAAAATGAAACAAAATCTGAAGTGTAGCATCCTGCATTTGGATCTGTTTGAATCATCAACTTTCAGGTGTCTGAAATGTAGCATTACTAAAATTTGCCCAAAGGTATGGTATGTTCAATTATGTCACATGTTGATATTAGTGAAAATACTGTAAGTAGAAATGAATAATACTGCAGTGTTTGAACACTCCAAAACATCTGAGATATACTAAACCATGCACACAATCTAGAAAAGTGACTGATGTGGTGAGATTATATCTTGTTGAGTCAAGGTTTTTTTAATTAGTGCAGCACAGTAACCACAGCACAAGAAAGTTATGGTTTTAACTGAAAGTACACATGAAAAAATAGTGGGGTGAACTCCCGTTACTTGTCCCAGCTTCTGCCAACCTAGCAGTTTGAAAACACGTAAAAAATGCAAGTAAAAAAATAGGGACCACTTTGGTGGGAAAGTAACAGTGCCACATATGTCTTTGGTGTTGTCATGCCAGTCACATAATCACGGAGAAGTCTTCAGACAGTGCTGGCTCTTCGGCTTTGAAATGGAGATGAGCACCACCCCTAGAGCCGGAAATGACTAGCACGCATGTGTGGGGGAACCTTTACATTTACCTTACAGCCATTAAACACCTTTGAGCCCCAAATCATCCATCAATCTGGATATGATGGAGTTGCATTTCATCTGGAAAATTTTTCTGTACAGGTAGTTCTTGACCATTCAAAGCACACTGAAAAGAGTGAGTTATAACTGTTTTTCACGCTTACAACTGTTGCAGCATCCCTGTGGTTATGTGATCAAAATTCAAACACTTGGCAACTGAATCAGGAAGGTTGCAGTGTCCCAGAGTCATGTGATCAACTTTTGTGATTTTTTTCTGACAAAGTCAATGGACAAGTCAGATTCACTTAACAACTATGACACTAATTTAACAATTGGAATGATTCAGTTAACAATTGTGGTAAGAAAGGTTGTAATATGGGACCAAATTCACTTAACTGTTTCCCTTAGCAACATAAATTTTGGGCTCAGTTGTGGTCGTAAGTTGAGGACTACCTGTGTTTTGCTTCTTGTAGGTGTTGAAAGTCCCACTGGAATCACTGTGAAAAGCATGAAAATCCCAGGGGTGCTGCTAATTGCTGCTTTTTGTGGTTAATACTTGCTACGGTTCGGTTTCTTCAGACTGACTGTTGTTTTCAATCTCTGTTTTTCCTGCAAAAAGTTAACAGTCTTGTGTTAACACACCTTATTTCTGATTGTCTTTTTCCTGATTTGTCACATGGGAGCAGAACAGTATGTGCTAGGATTGTTTTAATTACATTGTTGTGATGTTGTTTAGCACTAGAGTTCCCTGAAACTCTGCAGTAACTACTATTCTGTCACTGTGATGCGACTGTAATTCGTTGCTTAAGGGGAGCTATATGCTATTTTCTAATTCTTTTAGTTTTATTTAACATCTACTGTGCTGTTCCAGATCTAAAATACTATGTTTGCTTGTTTTATGTTAGGCTCAATCATCAATAAAAATCTTGCTTTTTCTTTCTTTCTTAGTTTATTAAGTTTCCCTAAACAATATATTTGATAAAGTAAGCTTTTTTCTTGTGTGAATGTATTACTATTCTTGTACTATTATTTTATTGCTGATGTTAGCAACTAAATAGGTTAAGCAGAATATACAGCATATTATTAATGATCTGACTCTTTGACTATGCAGTATTATAACAATGTAATTAAATTCCTTTATATTAAATATACATATTGTTGGACTGGGCATTCAGATCTGTAGGAAGTTAGCATCCACCCCTCTCCTAGGAAAATGAAATATTTTAGGAAATATTTAGGAAATATTAAAAGGGCAGAATATTTCCCCTAAAAGGGGAGGCCGAAACTCACCCCCCCCACCTTTGTCAATGGGCCATTAAGGCCTGGGCCAGTCTATTCTACATAACAAAGATCTACCTCCTTCATAACAGGAATCCCAAAGCCCTTTCAGTACATCATCACC